CTACCAACCAATCTGAGTTTGCTGGTTGGGGATTTTGCAAACAATCTCTACTAATTAAAGTGAAAGCAACTCAGTGGCTTGTTAGTTGAATTTGCCAATGTATTTGTGAGACCATATGGCTGATTGAGTTGAACAACAGTGACTCAGTAAAACATAGACACAGGTAATGCATGTCTGATAAAGCAACAACCATGTTGGCTTCCCTGGAATATTAACGTCGTTGCCAGTACAGAAATACAGTGGATGTTAAAGAACAGAGTCGTACAACTTTCGGAGAATGTTTATTATCGGTATGCCAAGGTTCTGTGTTGATTTTACACGGATGAATGTAGTAACTCTCGCTGATGCCTTCCCTTTTCATGGAACACATGAACAAATTCATTCAACTTGAATCAAAGTTTAATATTGAACAATAGAACGACGGCAGCAACAACGAACATTTGACACGTGTGTGTGTACAGTAACAAACATTTAATTCTTGAACGTTTCGGAATATACAAATTCTATCTTCAGCAAGCCATATTGAACAGGGTAAAATATCAGGCACAAAACATTATAAAGTTTAAACGTTTTATAAAGAGTAATTAAAATACAGAATAAAGGATGAAATAAATAAAAAGCAAATAAATAATCAATAAAGAATAGGACAATGCAACAATATCATACAAGTATTCAGAACAGACTTAATTGTAGTGAAGTTGTGTTACTATTTAAAGTTGGGAGTTCATTAATAATAGATAAACTTTTTTTAATTAACAGTTCAGTATTGAATGATCCAGATGAGATGACTTTGAAATTCGTAATCAAGATGGAGTGGTTGTAGTTTTCACAATGTGTGTGAATTATGGAGTCTGATGGAATTGATAGCTTTTACCAGTTTTGCTTGATACTCCCGTTTGTTCGCAGGCTTGCAGGTGTAATTGGCATATAGTTTTACCAATGTAAGTAGCATTACACCCACCACATTTGTATTTATATACGATCCTGGAACGCATATTGTTTATTAAACGAAGACGATGTGCAGTTTTTAATTGCATTCAATTTAGGATATCAGTATAAGTTGCCAGTTTTGTCGTTTTTTCCCAACCCAATCAAAGTGCTTTATTTACAGTTGGTGATTATTCTAACCAGTGAAATACCAAAACAAGAAAAACCCCTCACTTTGCGATATAAATATTAGAAACAATTGCTTGAAGTCACTCCTATAACTAGAGAACATATAACACATATAGGACCACTGCACGTCATCTTCTTCACCGAAATGTCTACCGTCAACAACAGGAGAAAAGCGTACACGATTGCTGAGAAGCTTACCATCATTGATAGAAATTAGAAAGGGATCACAACAAAGTCTGATAGCAAAAGAACAAGGTATTGCTGTCTCGACCACCAGAGGCTGGATCAAAAATGAAGCTCGTCTATGAATTGTTTCCTGCAAAATTGAAGAAGGGAGACAGACACAAAAGAAGGCACAACCAGCCCAAAATACAGACCTTGATAAAGCATAGTTCACATGGTTCATATGGTACAACAATCGGCAATTGAACTGGACTCTTTTGCCTGACCTTGGGTACTTTTATATAGCGATCCACCTATAAGGAAGTTGCAGATCTTGGCTCTTATCATCTGTGCTATAATTGGACTCGCGTGTACCAAGTGGATACTTACAAAGTTTGTTAAACCCAGTCAAACAGACTGAAATGAACACATGTCATAGTTAATGATGTATACAGGACAAATGAGTAGGCATCTACAAGCTGCTGAATATGCCCATGTTTGGGTTGGAAATACTACTCCCTGTTAATGTGATGTATGGTCCTCCCCCCTTGAGAAGACATCCCAAATTGTCCACAGTAATATGTGGAATGTTTAAAATCTGTAATAGCTGATGTGCTTGAGTTTATCTAACAAGAATTAGTAAAAGCCATTCAAAGCTGGACGAAGTGGAATGACCAAATAAAATGAATGGATGTTCCAGTGTGAAGATTGTGTCTGGTTGTGGTATGTGCCAGATGAATGGGAGCATTTTGGATCTGGCTAGACTGGTTTGTACCTGATATTCTAGCAAAGTTATTGCAAATGTAAGATATGCAAAAGCTTATGAAACACATCAATAAGCTGAATTCATATTTCATAAATGAACCTCTGGTACACTTACTTGATCACTAGTGAGGATAAGACTGATAAATCATGGAGGGCCTACTCATCTGATAAGGGAGAAAGGGCTGAAAGCATAAGTTCAGGGTTACTGGTTTTAAATTTAAATTTAGTCAAGTTGACGACAAGCCTAAAATAGGGATATGGAAAAAAGTGTGATATGCATGCATTTTTCACCATCATTTATCAATGTCGAAATTTTTAAAAGTTTTCATGTAATCTCATTCTATGCGGTTTTGGCATAAGCACGTGGTTAAAAAACAGTGAGTTGTTTCGTTCTAGTTGCCTTTGTTTCTTTGTTGGTCTCTAGCAAATAGTATCTACTTTGCTCATGAGGATATTGCTACAACTTCACACACATTGGGTAGGGCAGTACACTGACCGAGTAGATACTATCTATATGTTACAGCCTTTGTATGCTGGCAAAGAATGGTTAGTAAAGTTGTGATGCCTGTCACTTATGAGTAAAATCGAGGTTCCCTGTTTGGTGCAGAGCATTGGTGTTAGTCAGAATAAGAAATTTCTACTTGGTTCGAGAGGTGAGTAGTAATATAACTGCTAATTGATTCACTGATCCGTTAGGAAAGCAACTGCCCAGTGTCTACGCAAGTATGCACACTGTGTTTTTGCTTAACACTTTAAATAAAAATTGTTTTACACTTTACTCCGCGTGTTCAGTTTATTTTATTAGCTTAGATTCGGCCATAATTGAATTTCGATCTACTCTGCAATTATCCTGGACGAATCTCCCGTTATAAAGAAGAAAATACTATTGAAACATTTCACGGTCAGTTTAAAATTCCTTAGTCATTATCACACTAAAAAGTTCGCTCAGAGTTTTAATTGCTGGTGAGATTTGTCTATCCATTCATTCATCTATCCATCTACCTATAGACCTTTCTCTCTCTCTATCACTTATACGTGCATACGTACAATCTCAAAAACGTTTCGTGCAGATGTGGAATTCTCAGGGTAAACTGATTTCTGAATGAGTATCTGAAAAGTTTGGGAAGCCTATGGTAATCTTCAGATATGATCTAAAAACAATATTTTGTAAGGAAAAGCAAAAAACAACTACATTATTTTTATAGCTTTAAACATTCTAAAGAAGAAACACCAAGAAATATTAAGACTCAGTAGTAGTGTGATTGTTTTACTTTGCATACATTTTTTTTAATTTTGAGGGGTAAAATTGATTGATTCGAAGGTCACACAGTAAGAAAATGGTATTTCAATTTGCATTGTTTTTGAGTAAATACTTCAAGCCCATTTTTGTATTGTTAAATTTTCATTGTTTTTTGAGTAAATACTTCTAGCCCATTTTTGTATTGTTAAGTTTG